GCGAGACGAACGTCATCAATGGTTAGCGACCTTGAATAACATGACTCAAAATCGTTTGCAATGGCGCAGGTGCATTGATTCATTGTGTTCTCTCAAGTTCTAACATTCTGAGTCAGTCATAACGGGTATGAGGTCGGATGTCACTTCATGGCTGCCCACACTGTGGAAGGGTGTTTCTCAAGTGTTGGTTTTAACGGCCTGGGAGCGTGACCGCAGAGTCCAAGGGACAACTGCTTGAGGCCGGTCACGCGCGGCCTTTTTATGAGAGGTTTTTCAGAGTATTAGCTCCACTGTTTTTAAAAGCCCTTGGTGGGCAGCCCTTACTGCCGGAGACGGAAATCCGTGAGGTACGATGATGTGTGACATTTTTAGGGTCGATATTTTCTAACCCCTTCCTTCCTTGGCAGAAAGCAGCATCGTTGCAGATGCTGGTTATCCGAGGGAAACACCTTACTGATGCCACACCCCTCCATCACAGTCAGCAGTACGACTTCACGCTTCAGACCTTGGTTAGCTGCTTTTAGTCTCATCGTTCTGCAGTCGACCTGCCTGACGAGGTAGATTCTTCAGGAACATATGTTGCAGCCAGCATATCTCGGTTGGGTGATCACGATAGGCGAGCCCGACCACCACATCAAGGTAGCAGCTACGGTCGGGTCAACCTTCCGAATTCCTCATCATCTTTATCTTTCTCTTTCAAATGTTATCTCACTGAATTATACTTCTCGAATCATATCTTCGAACCCTAATCTTCTCCGATTACTGCTAAAATATTTACTACCACTACTACTATAGGATTTGAACTGACACTTGCGTCTCTATGCTAATGCACTATGACAACCTGACCTAATGTACCTACATGTACAAAGTTCTACGTTGTCACTAACTGACAATGGTTTACCTATTCACAGTAGTACTACGTTAATAACATAACTATATGTTACCGAAGACGTTACTAATGGATTTCAACCTTGTCGGTTGTAGGCAATAACTACGAAACACCAAATGGGTGAGGTCGTGCAAAAATCCCTAGATCAATCAGAGTTAGACATTAATACCGTTGGATGCCGGCCGGCTTAGTGGTCCGATGGTTAGACGTTCGCGCACAATACCGAAGATCCCGGGTTCGAATCCTGCGAGCTGCAGGAGTTGTGGATGCGCACTACCACTGATGAGTAGTCCGATACCAGGACGAAACGGCCGTCTTTCAGTGCTTCCAGGTTTCTAATTGGGGTGGTCTAACAACAATGATTGATTGATGATTTCAAATGTGTAGAAAAAAAAAACACAAAACCTCCGCAGATCACATTTCAAAGGTCATCAACGGATTTATTAGTTTGTGTGTGTATGTGTTACATCAGTCGACTGATTGATTGATTGATTTTTCGAATAGTTGACCTTTTCTCTCTCTACAACGTATCATCAATGCTGTACATGTATATTTATGTATATATATGTACTCACACATCATGTTTCCATTCCGGTTATTACTCATGTCTCTAATGGTTTTCTTGTTCAAAATGAAACCCAGTAAAATGTATTGATAATTGAATACAATTGGTGACTGTTTTAAATAAGCTCTTTTTTCGGCGTTGTTGTGTGTCACATTCCAATATTTAATGTCAATGACTAAACAAATGTATGTGATTACAAACGATACTACTTTGAATGAGTAGTATTTATTGTGTTTTTTGTTGTGTTGTGTTTTTGATGTCTATTTTAGACAGTTGAACTGAAATAGTATATTTTTTTTTTGTAACTCGATTCTACTGAGAGTTAGGATGACCTTTTTCTGTGAATTGACTGCATTGTTTCTTTTCGGTGAGATTGAAAGGTATTGATTGTGTGATCAGTTATGTAATCATGTAAAACGAGAGAGAGAGCGAGAGAGAATTGTAAAAATTGCGTCATTTATCAATTTAGCTATTTAGATTAAACAATTAGAAAAGTTTAATAAAATACACCTGATCTTTTGTAGTTTATTAAATGAACTAGATTTTGATAGTTACTTAGTTACTGAGTTACTCCTGTTATCCCCTAGTGGAGCATAGGTCCACCGATCAATATTCTCCAACTAACACTATCCTCGGCCTTGCTTTCTAGTTCTTTCCGATTGGTGTTGGTGTCCACAAGATGAAAGTCACCAATGGTTAGAAACCGTGAAATGATATGGCTCAAAATTGTTTACAATGGCGCAAGTGCATCCATTCTTTGTGTTCTCTCAATTTCTAATCTTCTCGACTCGTCAACACCTCTACCTTTGTCTTTCTAAATTTATCTCACTGAATTATACTTCTTGAATATAGTATCTTCAAATTCTAATCTTCTCCATTAGCAGTAATTCTTCTACTCTCTCTACCACTATGGGATTTAAATTGACAATTGCGTCTCTGTGCTAATATGTGTTGGTATGGCAACATGAACTGATGTACTTACGTACGAAGTTCTACGTTTTAACTGACTGACTGATCGGTATTCATTCTTCTCATTTGTGTCTCCGTTTCTTGGTGTAATGTGTTCCTTGGCTTTCTTGTTTTAATTTGACCTTGACAGTTCCAAAAATGAGGGTTTGTCTTGTGACCAGATATATTATTGTTCTCTAATCGCCCACTATTTACTTATACTTTGCTTAGATATACAGACAGACAGACAGGCAGATACGACGTAGAATTTCGTACATGTAGGTACAACAGGTCAGGTTGTCATACCGCATTAGCATTGGAAGTCATGAGACCATTGCCTCTTCTGACAACCAGAACCCTAACACAGTGTGGACAGCCGGGGTGAAACATCCGCCTTCATACTCCTAAAAGCATACGAGACTAAATTGGTCACAATCAAATCCTTTCTACACCTCCTAATAAAACTCTGTTATCTCCTCGACCAACAACTCTTCCTTCGATCATTTGTCACCTCGCGCCACTGAAGCAAACTGTTTAAGCTCACGTAACATTATTCTTGGTCTTCTGAAACCACTGAGTTGTCATCCTTGTTAAGATGTGAATACAATATTATTATACATGATTGTAAGAGAAAAATGAAATCAGTTTTATATATCATACCAACGACGCCTCACATCCTATTTAGAACTCGTCAACTGGATAAACTTATATCTTAGTGTTGGTATTCGAACTCAGTATTTATTTTCAGGATAAGAGGTGCTTACATTCCATTGTCGGCTGCAATCAATTCATTCAAAAAAGTTTGTGACAAAATGTCTTCATAAAATCATGAATCGATCATTGCTAGATCACCATTAAAAAAACATGGAAATGCTAGACGTCCGTCTCATCTTCGTTTGGGACTACTGCGTATCGATGATCTCTGCACTCGGGAATCAAACCACAAGACCTTCGGTCGCTTAGCTTCTAGACCACTGGGTTGACATTCAATCCATGGTCTTGCGCAACCGGCTCAGTGTTGTAAAGGTTAAACGTTCACATGCGAGACCAAAAGTCTAGAAGATAGTCGTAGGTTACTGGTTTTCGATCATAGGTGTCTTCGAATCATTGTTCGAGTGAGCAACGCTGTTATTAGGAATCGGGTGCTAGGTAAGAATGGCAGATCAATAGATGAAGTAATGAAACTTCATCAGTTGAGGTGACTGGGACCTGTGTTGCGCATGCTTAACCACCGATTGCCTCGACGAGCTTTGTTTTGTAGTGTAGGAATAGTTTGGAAGAAAGTTAGGGGCGGCCAAACCAAAACATGGCAGAAATCCATGAAGTCATTGACGAGTGGACTTAGCCATGTCTGTAGTTGTCGACTTCCTGGTTGAAGTCCGCGAGATGATAATAATCGATGGTTAGAGACCTTGAATGACATGGCTCAAAACCGTTCGCAATGTAGCCGGTGCATTTATTCTTTGTGTTCTCTCAAATCCTAATCTTCTGGATTCTTCAACCCCTCTAGTTTTGACTTTCTAAACTTTTCTCATTGAATCATACTTCTTGAATAATATCTCATCCTAACCTCTTCGATTACTTCTAATACCTTTACTACCTGTTCTACTATTGTATTTGAATTGACAATTATATCTCTGTGCTGATGTGGTATGGTGACATGAACTGATGTACTTACGTACGAAGTTCTACGTTGCATCTGACTGACTGACTGAGACCAAAAGTCGCATATGCCGTGGGGGGGGTTGGTTCATGAATATGCACTACAGACGAGTCCCATACTAGAACTTCACAGCTTTCCATTGTTTCCAAGTGTCTAATGATGATTGAACAATGGTCAATTCATAATTTTGAATCTATCCTATGATAAAAATGACCGATACTGAGGAAAAATTCATACACAAGATGTACATACGCCAATAAAGATTCACTAAAAATGAAAATAATTCAAACTTGTTCTTCAAAATAAGCAATGTACCCTCATGCTTTAATTTTTTTACTTTTTTTTACTTACGCCTGTTACCCCCAATGGAGCATGGGCCGCCCACCAGTATTCTCCAACCAACTCTGTCCTGGGCTTCTCTCTCTAGTTCTGTCCAATGTTTGTTCATTCCTCTCCTATCTCTCTCTATTTCTCGACGTAGTGTGTTCCTTGGCCTCCCTCTTTTCCTTTTGCCTTGAGGGTTCCATGTGAGGGATTGTCTCGTGACGCAGTTAGGTGCTTTTCGTAATGTGTGTCCTATCCACTAACTCCAGCGCTTCTTCCTGATTTTCTCTTCCGCTGAAATCCGGTTTGTTCTCTCCCACAGTAGGTTGTTACTGATCGGGTCTGGCCAACGAATACGAAGTATTTTGCGTAGACAACTGTTAATAAACACTTGTATCTTCTGGATGATGGCTTTCGTACTTCTCCAGGTTTCCGCTCCATACAGTAGAACTAACTGTCTTGACATTTGTATTGAAAATCCTTATTTTGGTTTTTCGTTGAAATGTAATGCATAATTTACCATTTCTGTTTAATTTCCTTTTGTGTGTACTACTACTACTTCTCCTCTTCTTCTTTAATTTCCCTGTCTTATTATTATTATTATTATTTAGGTGCAAGCAATTCAAGATTACCTGAAGATGAATTAAAAATTGCTGAAGAGAAATTTCAAGAATCGAAATTATTAGCTGAACAAGCTATGATTAATTTTTTAAATAGTGAAGTAAGTTATTCCTTTTTTCCACGTATTTTAGTGTAGGGTAGTTTGATGCTGAAAATGTACAACTTTTATTCAATTAATAAGTTACATTCTTCTATTTAAACAAAGATTTTATCTTATAAATAAGATATAATTTGATTTAGAATTGTTAAAGTTCACTAATTTTGTATCAGTTTATTTTATTATTCTTTTTATGCAAAGTCTTGCGCGCGCGAACGCCTAACCTCTGGACCGCTGAACCGTCCAGTGCTTCAAAGGTTTAACGTTTCTTAGGAAGGCACCCCCCCCAGGCCTTTGACTTGGAGATCTAATCGACAAGGCAATGGAGTGACGTTAGGAAATGCTGTCTCTTTTGGTATCTGGTCAACTAGTCAACAATAGTTCCACAGACCATTTGTTCTTTCACGATATTGTAGCCCCATATACACTATTGGTTTGGTATGATGGTTTTTTACCAACTCCTGTGAGTGGATACTCCGTGCCTATTAGCCCGATTTGGGCTTTTTGTCTCCTCATTTTCATAAACAAAACACCCTTACCTTGAGAAGTCAGTGAGTAGACTTTCCCCAACAATGGTTATATGAGTGTATTTTCCTGTAGTTAAACCAGAGATTACATTTTGCAAATAAGAAATAGTGTGATTTATAATTTTTCATCAGTTTATTTCATTATCCGTTCCTTTTGTCCGAAGTTAAGATTGTAATCTTAACCGTACATGTCAATATCACTATGTTACATAACTTTTAAACATGTAGTAGTTATTCACTCTCTTTTTTTCGAACTGGAGATTTTATTCAACAACATATTTATATTTTTTTCACTGAAATCATGGATGAGTCATTGTTAGACGACTTTTAGAATCTTGGAAGCACTAAATCGCCGTTTCGTCCTAGTATGTGGCTCTTTAACGATGCGCATCCAAGACCCTTATAATGCGGGTCGCGCACGCAAAGGCTGTCCATTTCTACGTTGAATCAGTCCAAACTAGTGCACATTTTTCACCCATTGTATGCGGTAGAAACTGCCTACACCCAACAGGATCGAACTCCACTAGTCACAATTTCTCACTAGAATTGCGAGAATTTCTTCACGAAACTAGTTACTAGTGAACACATTTCATAATGTTCATTAGGGAGTTATTGTTGGGGACGTTAGATCCTCAAAAGTCACTTATAAAAGATCCTAATTTTGAATACTTGTATTTTCGTGCATAGGCTGCTCAGTTGACGTGGAGACTATATTGCTCACTCGGAAAATCCTTGACCGTCATTGGTTGATGTGTTATTTTAGTACGCTAATTTTATGGCTCTCCCAAGGTCGTTTCTATGATGTCTTGTTAAACTCGATTTGTTTGCTTGAAGACCGGAGAGTGTCGAATCAGAATAGCCTATCGTGTCTCTGTGTCATAATCTTCTCTCTCGTTTACCGAGTAATGTTTACTCGACTACTCAACCAGGTAGTGTACATCTACCAGCATAACTATGTCCACTTGTCAGTGACTTCATGGATTTCCGCCATGTTTTGGTCTGGCCACCCCTAGCTTTCTTCCAACCTATTCCTACACCACAAAACATAGCTCGTCGAGGCAGTCGGTAGTTACCCATTCGTAACACATATCCCAACCATCTCAACTGATGATGTGTCATTACTTCATCTATTGAAGCACCCGTTTCCTAACGACAGCATTGCTTACTCGGTTGTCCCAGGATATACGAGCAATAATCCTTCGTAAACATCTATGATCAAATACTAGTAACCTACGAATATCTTCTACTCTTAACGACCATGTTTCACAGCCATATAAGAGAACGGAGCGAACTGCTACGCAGTACACCCGTCCTTTGGTTAGCAAATGGATATCACGCCTACGCCATAAATGACGCAGGTTGGCAAAAGCCAATCGAGCTTTATGTATCCGCGCAACTCAGTCTTGAAGCAACATTTTGCATTTCGACGGGAAAAATCGCATCCCAAACATGCTTGCATTGTTGCTTAGAATAGTGAGAAGACACTGCATTTTGTCAGCGTCTTCACCAAGTAGCACTATGTCATCGGCATATTCTAGATCAGTAAGCGATCTTCCTGGTAGAGAAGGTCAACCCCTGAAAAATCTGATGAGCTTAATGTTAACTCTAAGAGGAGGATGTCTACGACAAATTTAAACAAGAATGGAGCATTACAAGTGTTGTTTTTTAGTGTGAAAAGAATGTATTGATTTTTTTCATTATTCCCTCTCTCTCTCTGTCTTGCTCTCTCTCTATTCTCATCAATCTCTAATGAATGCAATTCACTTGTCTTGTTTGATGAATATATTATAAAATATTCTGCGCATATTTGATTTTTTTCCTCTTCCCTATCATCTCCATTGATCATGGTTGATGGAAGGAAGGAAGGAGGCAGAACGAACTTCAGTTCACTCACTAATCAATAAATGGTCAATAGTCTTTTTTTTTCTGTGGTAATTCGATTAGAATCAGGGTTCGTGAAATTAGAGAGTGGAAATTCAATTATTTGATCAGGTTTTTCTTTTCTTTAAATCAACTGAATAATAGTCACTACTTGGTAGAAATGCATGCGTAGAATAATTAACAACAACGAGTAGATTTTAAAAAATTTCAATTAGAATAATGGAGATTCGAATTTGTCCATCATGTTGGTGAAATTATCAATCAATCATTGTTAGATTACTATTAGAAACCTGGAAGCACTGAACGACACAGCCGTTTCGTCCAGAGGTCAACCGTTTGAGCACAAGAGCGAAGGTCCTGAGTTCGAATGCAGTGAGGTGCAGGAGTTGTGGATGAGCACTTCCACTGATGAGTCTCATACTAAAGGAGATCAGTGTTTTTACACATTTTAAATCATCAATCAATCATTGTTAGATAACCACTAGAGAAACCTGGAATCACTGGATGGCTGTTTCGTCCTGGTATTGCACTCATCAGTGGTAGTGCGCATCCACGACTCCTACACCTCGCAGGTTTCGAACCCGAAGCCTTCGGTGTTGTGCACGAACGCCTAACCATCGGATCACTGGGCCGGCATCCATGGGTGTTAATGTCTAACTCTGATCAATCTAGGGTTTTTGCGTGACCTCACCCATTTGTTTTTGGTAGTAGTTACTGCCTACACCCAGCAGGGTTGAACTCCATTAGTCACGTCTTCTCACCTAGAACTCGGAGAATTTCCTCACGAAGAGCTAGTGTCACTAGTGAGCACATGTTACGATATACTCAAGCAGAGTTTTTTGGGGGTTTGTGTGTTTTTACACACATTTGAAATCATCAATCAATCATTGTTAGAACACACCTCCATTAGAAACCTGGAAGCACACTTATAATACACTAACTATATTACACAAATTAGTAATGACATCAATCGAATTTAATATTCTCAATCGATTAATGTACGTGTACAACTTAATTGGCATTTTTATTTGTAAAAAAAATGATAAAATTAGTTAGACGGTTATTGATTAATTTTTGTGATGAGTTTAAGTGTGTATTGTCATGAATCGATCAATGTTAGACTACTATTAGGAATCTGCAAGCATTAGAGATAGTTGTTTCATCCTAACAAGTGGTTCCTCAGCTGTACGCAAGTGGGAATCGAATCCATGACTTTTGATCATTCGCCTGAACACTTGATCTCTAGACCACTGAACTAGCATGCAACGGTGTTAATGTCTCACTTCAGTCAAGCCGTGGTGTTGCGCCCGCCTTCGACACAAACCGAAACTTACAATTCACAGTTTCTTACTAGAACTCGAGAAACAAATCTTGAAGCCAGTCATTATTACGACCTTGTTGGTAGATGTAGGCTACCTGGTTGGGGTCCGCGAGACGATAGTCACCGAATCGTTTGCAATGGCGCAGGTACATCCACTCTTTGTGTTCTATGAAATTCTAAGCTTCTGCATTCCTCATAATCTCTACCTTTCTCCTTCTAAATTTATCTTACTGAATTATACTTCTCGAATCATATATTCGTACCCTAATCTTCTCCATTACTGCTAATACTTCTATTATTGCTATCACTCTTGGATTTGAACTGATAGTTACTTCTCTGTGCTGGTGGGGCATGGCAACCTGAACTGATGTACTTACGTACGAAGTTCTGTGTTGTATCTGTCTGTCTGTCTGTCATTAGTACGATCATCATTGTTTCTCTCAATATATGCCTATTTAAATCGGGCGCCCATTTAAACAAACTTTATGTATGTATCACATATCTTCCTCCCTTTACCACAACCCAATGAAATTTATTTCAAGGTTGAATCGCATTATAAGAAGAATATAGTATTCTAACTTACAGTTTCTCACTAGAACTCCGAGAATTTCCTCAAGAAGCTAGTCACTAGTAAGCGCGCGGAATTACCTTAGTACACCTTAGTCGGTAAACGAAAGCGAAGACAAATGATCTAGTGACACGATAGGCTACTCTAATCCGAGTGTCCCACGAATTAAAGGAAGAAGTCTTGATATAGCATAGAAAGTGTATTCTACAATCACCCAGAGAATACGAGGTTTTACAAGCACACAAATCGAATTTATTTATCCATGATAGAAACGTCCTTTGGAGAGTCACAAAAATAGCACACTAAAATAACATATCAACCAATGACAGTCAAGGATTTTGCGAGTGGGGAAATCTAATCAACCGTCAGTATATGCTAACATTCGACAATGCGTATGCTCTATCACAATGACACTAATGTGACCATATGTTACAAATGTAATCTCAGCAATTACTACTTTATCAGTTAAGTATTTATTCGCTTTGACACATAGAGAATTCGAGTGGTTTATGACATACATGGTGACATTATATGAAAGAAATCTTTTTAAAATCCATGCATCTGTCGGTGTTAACTAGAGTGTCACACTTGAAATACTAGCCAATGTTTAGCCTATTGTTATTTTTATAATAGTGAGAGAAATGTCCCTAATAAGTGAAAATAATAATAAAACCTTTTCTCTTTATATTCAATTATATTTATTGAT